CCTTCATAGATGTTTGGAGAAGTTAAATGATCTGTGTAAGATCATACAATAAGTTCTTTTTTTTTTTAATAAGTAAGTTCTTTAGAGATCTTATAGTTCTTAGATCACCACAATAAAATGAAGTGAAATTTAAGAATGGGAATTTGCAATCTGGCAGTCTTCTGTTGTGTCACCAACTATACAACATACTAGTGAGATGGAACTAAATATGCTGCTCAGAATACTAACAACATGTCTATAGAGTATTGCTCAGTCATATACTATCTATATGCTCATCAGAGTATTATATGGTTAATTTAATTATGGTATATACATCTGATGGAATATAATGCAGCCATAAAAAATTAGGAAGCTTTTATTTTTTACGATTTTATTTGAGAAAGGAAGAGAGCACGCACACTTGCACAGAAGCATAGGAAAGGACTGAGGGAGAGGGACAAGCAGACTCCCCACTGAGCGCAGAGCCCAATCCCAGGACCCTGAGATCGTGACCTCCCCCATGATCTGAGCCAAAGTCAGACACTTAACCGACTGAGCCACCCAGGCATCACATGAGGAAGCTTTTATATACGAATATAAGACAACAGACAAGCTATATCACTAAGTGAAAAAGTCCAGTGTATAATAATCTATTGTTTGTGTGAAACTATATCATGAACACGGAGACCTGAGATTATATACAAAATTTGGGCTATATGTGTATTTGCCTGAGGGGAAGTTTGCCAACTTTTTTTTTTTTTTAAGATTTTATTTGTTTGAGAGAGAGAATGAGAGATAGAGAGCACAAGAGGGAAGAGGGTCTGAGGGAGAAGCAGACTCCCCGCTGAGCAGGGAGCCCGATGAGGGACTCGATCCCAGGACTCCAGGATCATGACCTGAGCCGAAGGCAGTCGCTTAACCAACTGAGTCACCCAGGCACCCCAACTTTTTTTTAAGACTTTATTTATTTGAGGGGCACCTGGGTGGTTCAGTCGTTAAGCGTCTGCCTTTGGCTCAGGTCATGATCCCGGGGTCCTGGGATCGAGCCCGGCATCGGGCTCCCTGCTCAGTGGGAAGCTTACTTCTCCCTCTCCCACTCCCCTGCTGTGTTCCCTCTCTCGCTGTGTCTCTGTCAAATAAATAAAATCTTTAAAAAAAGAAAAAAAAACTATTTATTTGAGAGAGAGAGAAAGAGCAAGAGCAGGGGGAGGGGCAGAGGGAGAAGCAGAATCCCTGCTGAGCAGGGAGCCCGATGTGGGGCTTGATCCTAGGACCCTGGGATCATGACCTGAGCCGAAAGCAGACGCTTAACCAACTGAGCCATCCAAGTGCCCCCAAAGCTTGCTAACTTTTATTTCATTTCCCCACAAAATGACTAAGAATCTCTAGGCTATGGGGTGCCTGGCTGGTTCAATCAGTAGCATGCAACTCTTGATCTTGGGGTTGTGAGTTTCAGCCACATTGAGTGTAGACATTACTTAAAAATAAAATCTTAAAATAAATAAATAAAATCGTAAAAAAAATTTTTTTATTAAAGATTTTATTTATGTGGCAGAGAGAAGGAACACAAGCAGGGGGAATGGGAGAGGGAGAAGCAGGCCTCCTGCAGAGCAGGGAGCCCAATGGGGGGCTCAATCCCAGGACCCTGGGATCATGACCTGAGCTGAAGGCAGACGCTTAACAACTGAGCCACCCAGGCGCCCCTTAAAAAAAAAAATAAAAAATAAAGTCATAAAAAATTATCTCTTGGTTATGAATGAACACTTAGTCTTACACAAATTGTATATACACTGTGATTTATATATACGTATATATATATGAACATAGAGGGGCACTGGGTGGCGCAATCAGTTAACTGACAACTCTTGGTTTTGGCTCAGGTCAAGATCTCCTGGTTGTGACATCAGACCGCGCCAGGCTTCCTGCTCAGCTTGGGAGTCTGCTTGAGATTTTTTCTCCCTCTGCCCCTCCTGCTTATGCTTTCTCTCTCTCTCAAATAAATAAATAAATCTTGAAAAAAATACGAACAGGAAAAGAATAAAATTAAAAAAGTAAAATAATAGCATCTTATACCAAAAATTCCAGATGGATCAAAGATTTAGCTGATTACAAAGGAAAGAAGAAATTACTAAAAGAAGCTATAGGTAAATATTTTTATAACTTACTAAGTATAAGTCCTAACCCCAGATCGATAAGATAAAAGATATGTAAGTTCAACTACATACAAAGAAGGAAAAAAAAAATTTTTTTTTTAATAATTGGGCGGGAGGGGCAGGGGAGAGAAAGAAAGATTCTGAAACAGGCTTCACATCCAGTGCTGAACCCGATGTGGGGCTTGATCTCACAACTCTGAGATCATGACCTGAGCCAAAATCAAGAATTGGATGCTTAACCGACTCAACCACCCAGGCACCCCAAGGAAAAATTTCTTTAAGGCAAAACCAACTAACCAGCTAGCCAACCAACTGAAAATTTAAAAAATACATAGTGTATGTAAAGTCAGAAGAGAAAGGGAAAATGTTTGTGAATTATATCTCGGATGAAAGACTAATTTTTGTAAAGATCTCCTACAAATCAGTAAGAAAGACCAACAACTTGGTAAAAAAAATAAGTGAAAAATATAAATGTTTTACAGAAAAGTAAACATAAATGGCTTTGAAATATATGAAAATAGTCTCAATTTCACCCATATTAAGAAACCACACTAAGATACCATTTTTCACCTATCATATTGGCTAAACTATAGAAGTTGGAGAAGACATCTTGTCAGAATTTGGGGAAACAAGCACTCTCATACACTGCTGGTAGAAGTGTAAAACTGGCTCAACACTTGTGGAAAGCAATATATCAATAATATCACAAATATATATATTCTTTGGCTCAGCAATTCCACTCTTAGGGATTTATCCAATAAAATTACTCCAACATGTGTGAAGTGATATGTACACATTCATTGTGGCATAGTTTATAATAATGAAAGAAAAAAAACTGCATGCTCAAAAATAGGAAACTAGGGCTCCTGGGTGGCTCAGATGGTTAAGCGTCTGCCTTCGGCTCAGGTCATGATCCCAGGGTCCTGGGATCGAGTTCTGCATCAGGCTCCCTGCTTAGCGGGAAGCCTGCTTCTCCCTCTGCCTCTCTCTCTATCTCTTATGAATAAATAAATAAAATCTTAAAAAAAATAGGAAACTAAATCATGACACATTGACAACTGAAAACTCTGCAACTAATACTCCCAAATAAACAGAGAAATGGTTATATACTAACATGAAAGCAACTCCAAGATGTATTGTTCAGTGAATAAAACAAGTTACAAAACACTATGTAATATATACTATTATTTTATCAAATAAAAGGTAGGAGGACATATGTATATATTTGCTGATATGTGCACAGAGTATCTGTAGAACTATTTATTCTTTGTGCCTTCTGAATTTTCCATCATGAATGTATTATCTTTTGTTTTTTAGGATTTATTCATTTATTTCAGAGAAAGAGCTCACGCATGCAGGGAGCAGGGGGAGGAGAGGGAAAGAATCCCAAGCACACACACTTCCCACTGAGCGTGGAACCCAAGTTGGGGCTCAATCTAAGACCCCGAGATCATGACCTGAGCTGAAATCAAGAGTCTGACACAACCCACTGAGCCACGCAGGTGCCCCAAATGTATTATCTATTGAGAATAAAACATTGAAATTTTTTAAGTGTTGGGAATCTATGAACTAGTTTTCTCTGCATCCCCTTTATCTCCTGTTTTCTACTCCACTTCCTTACCTTTCCCCACCATAAATCCACTCCAGGCTTTTAGGCTTTACTTATTGTCATCGAGGGTGTTTTTGTTTTTGTATTAGTTTCAGAGATAGAATTTAGTGATTCATCAGTTGCATATAATATCCAGCACTCATTACATAGAGTCCTCCTTAATGCCCATCACCCAATTATCCCATCCCCCACGCACCTCCCTCCAGAGACCCTTTTTGTTTCCTGGAGTTCAGTGTCTCTTATGGTTTGCCTCCCTCTCAATTTTCATCTTATTTAGTTTTTCCTTCCCTTCCCTTATGTTCATCTGTTTTGCTTTTTAAATTCCACATGAGTGAAATCATATAGTATTTCTTTCTCTGACTCACTTATTTTGCTTAGCATAATACCCTGTGGTTCCATCCATGTCCTTGAAAATGGCAAGATTTCATTCTTTTTTATGGCTAAGTATTATTTCATTGCATATATATACCACATCTTCTTTATCCATTCATCTGTAGAGGGACATCTGGGCTCTTTCCATGTTTTGGCTACTGTGGACATTGCTGCTATAAACATTGGGATGCAGGTGCCCCTTCGAATCACTACATTTGTATCTTTGGGTAGATATCTAGTAGTTCAGTTGCTGAGTAATAGGGTAGCTCTATTTTCAACTTTTTGAGGAGCCTGCATACTGTTTTCCAGAGTGGCTGCACCAGCTTGCATTCCCACCAACAGTGTAAGAGGATTCTCCTTTTTCCACATCCTCACCAACATCTATTGTTTCCTAATTTTAGCCATTCTCACAGGTGTGAGGTGTTGGCTCATTGTGGTCTTGATTTGTATTTCCCTGATGACAAGTGATGTTGAGCATTTTTTCATGTCTGTTGGCTGTTTATATGTCTTCTTTGGAGAAATATATGTTCATGTCTTCTGCCCATTTCTTGACTGGATTTTTTATTTTTTTATTTTTTGGGTGTTGAGTTTGATAAGTTCTTTTTAGATTTTGGATACTAGCCCTTTATCTGGTAAGGCATTTGCAAATATCTTCTTGCATTTTGTAGGCTGTCTTTTAGTTTTGTTGACTGTTTCCTTTGCTTGCAAAAGCTTTTTATCTTGATGAACTCCCAATAGTTCATTTTTGGTTTTGTTTCTCCTGCCTGTCATTGAGGGTTTTTACCAGTCATCAGGACATCCGACTTACACACTTTATTGTAGCCTAGAAACTAACTGGAGACCCCTGAGGTCCTCCTGGTGCAGGGATTCTTGTTTTTTTCTTTTTCTTAATTGTTTTTATGACACTAATTCCTTGGGCAATCTGGTGAAGGCTTCAGACTCCTGAGAAAATAAAATATATAAGATTATAAAGAAAATCAATCATATTGAAACAAAGTTATACAAAGATTTTTAATTTTTATTTTTTAAAAAGATTTTTATTTATTTGAGCAAGAGAGAGGGAGAGAGCATGAACAGGGAAAGGGCAGAGGAAGCCACCCAGGCATCCCCATAAAAAGATTTTTTTAAAGATTTATTTATTTGGAGGTCACCTGGATACTCAGTCTGTTAAATGTCTGCCTTTGGCTCAGATCATGATCTCAGGGTCTTGGGATCAAGCCCCTTGTCAGGCTCCCTGCTCAGCGGGGTGTCTGCTTTTCCCTCTCCCTCTGCCCCTCCCCCTGCTTGTGCTCTCTCGCTCTAATGAATAAATAAAATCGTTTATTTTTTAAATATTTGAGACAGAGAACGAGAGGGGGGAGGGGCAAAGAATCTTTAAGCCAACTCCTGGCTGACAGCAGAACCCAAAGTAGGGCTTTTTTTTTTTTCTTCAAAGTAGGGCTTGATCCCACAGAGCCTGAGATCATGACCTGAGCCAAAATCAAGAGCCGGACACTAAACCAACTGAGCCACCCAGGTACTCCTATAAAAAGATTTTTAAGACATTATTTGTGATATGGTAATACATGTTTTTATTAATACATTAAATAATAAGCTATATTTGGGGGAGTCAATAACTATGGTAAATTTGGGGGCACCCGTCCAGCTGTCAGTACAGCATGTGACTCTTGATCTCGGGGTGGTGAAGTTTGAGCCCCACACTGGGTGTAGAGATTACTTAAAAATAAAATCCTAAAAAAAAAAAATAATAACTATGGGCATCTGCGTGGCTCAGTTGTTAAGCATCTCCCTTTGGCTCAGGTCATGATCCCAGGGTCCTGGGATCGAGCCCCACATCGGGCTCCCTGCTCAGCGGGAGGCCTGCTTCTCCCTCTCCCACTCCCCCTGCTTGTGTTCCCTCTCTATCTGTCACATAAATAAATAAAATCTTAAAAAAAAAACAACTATGGTAATTTTGAAAAAGTGATGAATATATTTCAAAATATCAGCAATAACTGTAATATGATATATGACCTATTGCATCAAGCATTCTGTCACTTTCATCTTTTTAAATAAAGTACCTCCTAGATCTAGACAGATTGCCTTCTATACCTTGGTGCTTGGCTGGTTATTTGGGGATTTCTCTTCACCATCATCCTGGGACAGCTTTGCCACTCTCTGATGTCTATGTCCTGTTTTCTGTATCTTATGTCTTGTTTATTCCCTTGTTTTGGTGGAGTGTATCCTCCAATTGTTTCTGAGAAAGACTGTACGGGAGGAAAATTATTTAGATCTTGACTAACAATTCAATATTCTATGATTCATACTTGATCTGCTGAGTAAAGAAGTTGAGGTTGGGAATCATTTTCTTTCCAAAGTTTGAAGACTTTCCAGTGTTAACTATCAAGAAGTCCATTCTGATTTTGGATCCTTTTATGTGACTTGCTTTTCTCTCTGGAAACATGTAAATATTATTGTTTCTTTGTTCTGAAATTTCACAACAACCTACGTTGTTGGGGTCCATTTTCATCTTATGGGATGAGTATTTGGTGGGTACGTTCAATAAGCAAATTGCTGTCTTTCCAATCTGGAAATTTTCTTGAATCCTTTCTTTGATTTTCTTCCTTCCCTCCATTTTCTCTGTTCATGCAATTTGGAAATCATAAAACTTTTGAACTGGTCCTCTAATTTTTTTAAATAGTTTCTTTCCTAGTTTCCATCTTTTGGTCTTCTTACTCTATTTTGGATCTTTCCCCAATTTATCCTTCAACTCTTAAGTTCTTTATTTCTGTATTCCTTAATTTGGAAAGGTTCCTTTTTTGTTCTCTAAATTTACCTTTAATATAGTACTCTCTCCTTATTTGTTGGTTGCAATAACTTCTCAACTCTGAATGGAATAGTTTTGTTTACTTTTCTTGCTTGTGCAGTGTCTATTTTTCTATTTCCAATTAACAGCTCACTCATGAACTAGTTGCAAACACCATCAGAAGTAGAAAATTCTCTTCCTATAGGCTAATAACTGGCTAATTATTTCTTCTCAGAGACCTTTTTTTAAGATTATATTTATTTATTTGAGAGAGTGAGTGAGCAAGAGAGAGGTAACAAGGGCAGGGGAGTGGGTGGCAGAGGGAGAAGGAGAAGCGGACTGCCTGCTGAGCACAGAGCGGATGCGGGGAGCTGGATCCCAGGACTGCAGGATCATGACCTAGAGCAGATGCTTAACGGACTGATCCACTCAGGCAAACCTCTGAGAGTTTTTTTTTTTTTTTAATGTTTATTTATTTGAGAGAAAGCACATGCAGGGGGGAGGGGCAGAGGGAGAAGCAGGCTCCTCGCTGAGCAGGGAGCCTAACTCAGGGCTAATCCCAGGACCCTGGGATCATGTCCTGAGCCAAAGGCAGATGCTTAACCAACTGAACCACCCAGGAGCCCAGTCTGAGAGTCTTTTTTAAAAAAACAACAGGGGACACCTGGGTAGCCTAGTTGGTTGAACATCCAACTTTTTTTTTTAAAGATTTATTTATTTGATAGAGACACAGCGAGAGAGGGAAGCAGGGGGAGTGGGAGAGGGAGAAGCAGTCTTCCCACTGAGCAGGGAGCCCGATGCGGGGCTCCATCCCAGGACCCTGAGATCATGACCTGAGCCGAAGGCAGATGCTTAACGAATGAGCCACCCAGGCGCCCTCTCAAATAATTTTTTAAAAGTAAAAATAAAAAACAAACACTATCTGTAATGCCAAAGGGCAGGCAGGCCAACTTCACAGCTCAGGACGTTGGTTCCACCTCTCAAGTGTCCTTGATGATGACGAAGACCCAGGTGGGTCTGGGGAGTGACTCAAGGATGGACTCAGGGATGAAAGGATTTCTTGTGGACCCTCACTAATAGTCTGGAAAACAAGGGGAGGAGTATAGCACTTATTTCTGTGTCTAAGAGCTGCATAAATCATAAAAAGGAGAAACATATTTAAGAATAGTTCGCTCTTAACTGGTGGGGCATATTGAATAAGGCAGACCTCATTTTGAATATCTGATCTCATTAGTATAGGAGACCCAAGACCCAGGGGAAAGGACATTCTGGGTCAGAGACTTCAGTTATGGTAGCAAGTATAGAGAATTAATGTTCAGGCTGGATTTCTCACATACTCCTCCTGGCATACAACATATGGTATATCCCAGCTTGCATGAAAACTCTGGTCTTTTTCAACAGGCTAACAGAAGGAGAGAGACTTAATAAATTAAGTGCATGTTGACCCACAGTAGGCTCCAAAGAAATCCCCCTAGAGTGAGAGGACAAAGGAAGATTTTTTTTAAAGTAATCTCTACACCCAGTGTGGGGCTTAAACTCACAACTCTGAGATCCGGAGTCACATGCTCTGCCAACTAAGCCAGCCATGTGCCCTAAAGAAAGATTTCTGAAAGTGAAGCAAATGCTTCCATGTCAGAAAAGAAAGGCTTAGTTAGTTGGCAAGCTCTGGGGAAACAGATACAATTTTCTCAGGTATCCTAACAGAGAAGTGAGAGCAGCGGTACTGTTTGGGTATTAGGTCAATCAGGAGATCACGGAAAGCACTTTGGAATTTTAGATACCCATTTTTCCAAAAGACCTTTTTTTTTTTTTGCAATGGAAATGAAAGATTTCCCATCTAAACTTTCCCAACTCTTAGACCCGACTCCTTCCCCTCAACTTCTGTCATTTTTCCTTTCCTTTAGGACGCTTTAAAGTTTTCATTTGTAAAGTCAGGGTATTAGTTTTAGTAGTCTTCTTTTACTCATCTTGAAAAATTGATTGCACACAACAATTAGTAACAAAGACAAGTAAATGGTTTTGTCTCTCACGCTGTATAGATGGGTTTTTTTTTTCAAATTGTGGTCTGGGAATGACAAAGGCAGTTGTCATTGCCACAGGAAAAATTTCATTGGCATTATTAGTACTTGAATGCTAGGGAAGATTTTGCTTTTCCCATTAAGTCAACTGCCTTTTGTCCTTTACTTTCACTTAACACCTTCTGAACTTGTGGTAGAGGCTGTTAGTTTCAATTTACCCTCCCCCTTCTTAGATAGAACGCCAATTTTATTCCCAACAGCGATGCATCCAGCTTCAAGATTTTATTTCTGAGCTTCTCTTGTTGGGTGGGGTATGGAGAGAGAGATGTACTTGAAAGTGTTCTATGAGTTTCTGAGACTTTCAAGTCTTATAAGGGGAAGCTTTCTTCCTCTCTGCTGTCTAGAATGCAGATATAGTACTTCAAATTTCTGCAGCTATATTTGAAGTGGGGGTTAATCCAGGTGCGAGGGATACAAAAAATTCCTAAATTGCCAGAACCCTGGTGATATAAAGCTGAGCTTCACAAGTTCTGTACCGGTTAACTCTGGATTTCACTGACACACGGGCAAAATAAACATTGTCATTGTTATTACTTTTTCTGTTACATGGAGCAAAACAAAAAACACATTAAAATGTTTGTAACAGGGGCACCTGGGTGGCTCAGTCAGTTAATCTGCCTTCGGCTCAGGTCCTGATCTCAGGGTCCTGGGAGCGAGCCTGAGTTACGGCGCCCTGCTCAGGGGGGAGCCTGCTTCTCTCTGTTCTTCCCGCCCCCCGCTCTTGCGGTCTAATAAATAAAATCTTAAAAGATGTTCTCGTAAATATACAGTAGTATCATCTTATCTGTGGGGGAATATGTCCCAAGACCCCGCAGTGGATGCCTGAAACCGCAGACAGTACTGAATCTAAATACACTGTTTTCTCCTATACCTACATACCTATGATAGAGTTCAATTTCTAAGTCTGGCAAAGGAAGTGATTAACAATAATAAAATGGGACAATTATAAACTTAGACTATAATAAAATAAATGTGGTCTCTATTGTACTGTACTCACCCCTCCTGTGATAATGTGATGTCAAAATGCTTATGTGATGAGACGAAGAGAAGTAAATGATGCAGGCATTGTGACGTAGCACTAGGCTACTGACCGTCTGACGACAGGTCAGAAGGATCGCCTGCTTCCAGACTGCAGTTGACCTCCGGTTAACTGAAACCACAGAAAGTGAAACCCAGAGAAAGGAATACTACTGTAAATCCAGTTTGCAAGCTAGTGTTTTTTCCCTAGGGCCAAGAGAATTAAATTTTAAAGGTTATCAGTGGGGAGGTAGGGCAGCTTTTGTCAATCTGAGTAATGAATGTTATAAAATACAAACTATGCTATAATACATGGGAAAAATGAGAAGACACTATTTTAAAAAAGATTGAAGAAATAACCAAATATAAATTTTAAGAAATTATCAGTGAAATTAAAAACTCAGTAACTATACAATTCAAAAAGCATAAACCTAAATTGGACTCCCATTTGGAAAAACACAAGCCATGAAAGACATTTTCAGGAACTGTTGGGGAAACCTGAACATGGACCAGATATTATGGAATTACTATTAATTTTCTTAATTTACTCAGAATGTCTCACAGAGATGGAAAGCACAAAAGATGGTAAGGGAAACTTTACAACAGTACTTATCAAAAGTACTACTTATGGGGGCACCCGGCTGACTCAGTTGGTGGAGCATGTGACTCTTCATGTCAGGGTTCAAAGTTCAAGCCCCATGTTGGGTATATAGAGTACTTAAAAAATCTTAAAGTAGTATTTATAATTAGTAATCTATTAGTAATTAGAAACACTTCATTTACCTTTTCAAAAAAGATTTTATTTTAGAAAGATCACAAGTGGGGGGTGGGGAGGAGAGGGGGAGGGAGAAAGGGAAAGAATCTCAAGCAGATTCCACACTCTAGAGTGGAGCCCAACTGGGGTTCCATCTCATAACCCTGAGCCAAAAGTCTCAATGCTTAACCAATTGAGCCACCCAGGTACCCCCCCCTTTTTTTTAAAGCCAGCCTTATGCCCAAATGTGGGGCTTAAACTCAGGACCCCGAGATCAAGGGTCGTGTGCTCTACCAACTGAGCCAACCAGGAGTACCATGACTGTTTTATGAACCTCTTTTCCATAAAGGCTTACCTTCACATTGTTACAGAATGAATTATGCTGCTTTTTCACAGGAATCCCAACACTTAACACTACGAAATCACACCAATTATTCCCTCTATGTATTCTAGTGGTGTTTTTTCTTTTTTTCAAACTCCATCTTTGCCTATGTCTGTTGGGGTCAAACATGAGAGGTCTGTACTGTAGGTAAGCCTAACAAATTAACTAGACTCCAAGTCGGGTAAGGAAAAGCCTGTGAAGATTTAACTCACACTTGGCTTACTTACTGCTTTATTTCAAATCTAAGAGGACATCAATTGCCAAGATGTACCAAGAACAACTAAACACTGCCAACTCTGACAATGTACTTGACAATCCTGCAAAATGCATGAATTGGTTATATAGCAGCCTCTTTTTGAAATTTCATCAATATGTTCACACTTCTCATTTGAATAAAACTGCTTTGCTTCTATTTGGTAGACAATCCCTTGCATTACAGCTTCTGGGCAGCTCCCCTGCATAGGTGCCAAGACATAACTTGGTTGCCACTTTGCAAGAAAATATGAATTGTGGCTATCCTTCTAAAAATTAGGATTTCCTTAAAAGTTTATATCCTGCTGCTTGTGTGTGCCTTTTTTTGTACATAGAAGTAACATTTTTATGTTGAACTATCCTTTTGAAGACACTACGCAATTGAACTAATGCACACCAACAGCTATTATTAAGTTTCACATGTGGACAGGCAAAGATATGTCAGTGGCATTGTGGGTCCACCAAAAGTGTAAGATGCCATGGATTGTTCAGATCTACTCCAATTTCAGAGAAGCTAAAATGTGAAGGAAAAAATGTACCCTAGAGTTAGGTATGGTGTCAGGCATATTTTCATGTTTGTATGTAAATTCTCACAACCATCAACGGGACTTAGCTTTGTGATCCCATTTTTCAAATAAGTTCAAATGCCTTACCCAAGATTCCCCATTGAATGAGTGCCTGGACCAGGATTCAGACCCACTTAACTATGCAAGGTAATTCCAGTTCTCCTCCCAACTTGTAAGAATTTAGAGACTGACTTGTTCCCAAGAGTTAAAAAGCACTATGCCAAACATGTGAAATGGCCAGTTACCAGTGTACTCTGTTGTTAAATACCCTGAGGGTGACCCAAATATGATCAATGTACAATTAAGCAAGAAATGCCCACCGAAGATTTAATTTGCTATCACTATTGCTTTCTCTGGTTTTGGTCAATCTCCTCTTTGCTGGAGTCCCACAAGCTTTATACAAGGGAGTGAACTATGGGATAGAACATACCTCTGATGAGAACTCTGTGTAAAGAAACCTGAGTTTGAAGTTTCTAATTCAGTTAATTTCTGTTATTTTCCTTGAATGTGTTTAGCTTATGTAAACATTGAAGAAATGATTCTTTAAAGCTATAGCTATAATTTTATTCAAGGTAATTTAATGTCTTGTGAAGTTCAAAATTTATAAAATTGTATATATTGTAAAATAATAAATTGTATAATTAAAGTACATGACAGTAACAAGTCAGAAGGGGAAACGGGAGGAAAAGTGTTCTAATCCATTATCTTCCATTTCACGATCTAAAATCTCGAGCTCTTACCATCATATTCATGTCCCTTTCCTTTAAAGGTATTATTCAGAGGTTTATCATCACTTCTGCTTTCATTCCAGTCACAAGACTTCAACCTGGTTGCAAGGGTGGTTGGGAAAGGTCAGCTAGGAGGCTTAAGTACCCAGTTAAAACATAGGGATTCAATTAAAACAAATGAATAATATATATTGAGGAACAATTATCAGTTTTTGTGACATTGTCCTGAAGCCTGTACACAAAGTAAAAAGGAAAAAAAAAGTAAATTTACTCTCGGCAGTGGCTGAATCCCAGTTGCCAATCATTTCTAAATTCAAAGCAGACTATCCTGGTTTCCAAGCCAAGACTTGTTTTCTTGCAACATCTAGAACATACCAAGAAAGCAGGGGGTAGAGTGATGTGCTAGAAGGTAAGAAAATTGTGTATCATCATTGACAGAAATGGTGACAGCAACTCAAAACTAACAATATGCATTTCACAGCTAATTCAAAATAGACCAATCTGAACCTAAACTTTTGGCTGGCTGATCCAAGAAAACCTCGTAAAAGGGGTTTTTAGGCCAAAACAAGTAATAATAAGAAATCAAAGATTTTAACAAAGCTAGTTTGAAAAAGAGTTTTCCAATGTTCTTTGAATACATTTAAACTCTTATATTTACTGTCCTAGAAAAAAATTTCACACAGGATTATATTCTACTGAAGTAATAGTTTTGTCAAAGCCTACAAAGTTACAAAAGTACAGCAATTATACAAAATTGCTGACTGCATGAACATGAGGCACTTCAAATGCTTAGGTTTTAGTGTAGGCTTATTGGTTAGATTCAATCCTCTAGAAACAGGCTCACTCAAGCTAGTTTCCTTTTCCTACTCCCTTAGTTCTACCCCTTTTCATATTTTATAGGACATCTACACATTTTCCCCCTTCCTCCTACCTTTCCTAAAGGGATAAGGCAACTTTCTAAGGGTTATATTTGACAAAAATACAATTAATCGAGACTATCTGAAGTAGCTTCTTACACCTGGGTTTTCTCATTCTCTTTTAATCTGTTATACGTAACTCCTATCCAGGGACCAAGAGAAGACGCTTTTTAACTGCAAATAAAGATAAAAGCACGTCAAGCTGTCACAAAAGGGATGTTTCTTGGGAACAGAAGGTAACATCTGGAGCATGTTCGATTAATCCAACTGTGCCTGCACTCCCGATAACCCCAGAGGTTATATTTGTAAATCAACAGTGCCCAACTTCACTTAAAAAATGTTACCTAATACTTAAAACACATATATAATCACTTTCATTAATGTAGGAATAATTTTGAGCCAATAAAGGAAAATAAATGTAAACCAAGTTTATTTTGCTTTTTAAGTAGTGTTCTTAAAGCACTACAGCTTGGTAAACAATGTAAATTAGTATAAGTCATCTCAAAAGCCAGAGTTTTGTTTGTTTGTTTTTTAATGAGTTGTTAAAAAGATGCAGCCTATTCTAACAGGATAAATATTTTTAACCATTTCACTTCGAGTTAATGAAGGCTCACAAATGAGCAACACTCCTCATTGAGGAAAACAAAAAGCTGTTGTCGACAAGCGACAGCACACACACACAAACAAAAAGAACTGTGTAAAAATAACTAACTGTGTTCCCATATTTTTTGAAGTCGCTTTACAATGGGATGATATGCACATGATCTTGCTGCAAACTTGCCATACAGACTCGTAATACATGTAGTCTAGACGAACGATTCAGTCCAAGAGGTGCTAACTTTAGACAATGCAGCACTAGAATCCTCTTAACAACGCAATTTGTTTTACTCATTACCTTTTCTTCTAGACTGAAATACAGGCTAGAAAGAAAATGCTCCCTAATTAAAAATTGGTATTGTTTACAGGAAAACTGTGTAATTTTGCATTAGAATTTACAGGTATATGTTCAAATTGAATTTGCCTCCTCCCCCCGTCCCAGCCACAAAATGGGCATGAAGTAAAATTTTTAAAAATGCCTTAATTTTAAACTTCATGCAAACTAAATAAAGATGACCAAAACAAAAGCTTAAACAATGGAAGGGTATTTCACAGAAAATTTCTTATACAAAAAACACATAAGAAAAAGGGCCACTAGGTGACATTTTAATTTACAAATTGGCATCATTTTGGTCGACAAATATCCAGATGCTGTTTTCTTCTGCTAACAAGAGTTGCGGGGGGTGGGGGTGGGGAACCCAACAACAATAACAAAAAAACCCAGCATGACTTCCGATTTTAATCACACATTTCTTCTGGAATTTCATGTGGATTAAGGATGCCAGGGACAGACATTTGAAGTTTATGTTTCTCTTCCTGAGCCTGTCGAAGGGCTGTTTCTCTTTCTTCCAAAAACAGATCAGATGTATCTTCACCTGCAAACTCCTGTGAAAACAAGACAGTTGAAGTGTTAACATAGTAAATTCCAATTTTGGAAAATGACCTTTGGGGGGGACAAAAAAAAAAAAACCATGTAAAAAGGATAGACAAGCACCTCCCTGTTTTGTTTACACAATGATAAAAATCTATCCTTCAACTGGTTGGGTTTAATTATAGTGTGTGTGTGTGTGTGTGTGTGTGTGTGCGCGCGCGCAAGCGCGTGTGAATGTATTTAAAGATTATAGGTATTAGAGAGAGAAAGCACGTGCTGGCACGCACAGGGGGG